TGCTGTTATTGCGCTTCGCATTCTGCTGACGATCCCAGTTTCTGTTTCAACGGGAGAGCGATCGTTTTCAAAGCTAAAGTTAACTAAAACTTATCTCAGAAATGCAATAGGTCAAGACAGGCTCAATCATCTGGCAATCATATCGATAGAAAGCGATGTAGCAAATTCGATTCAATATGACGACGTGATTGAAGAATTTGCCACTTCAAAAGCGAGAAAAAAGACATTTCTTTAAGTCTTTTTAATGTATCATTTTTTTGTTGCTTTTCAAATAAACTTGGATCAAATGTATCATTTTTGAGATTTTTTCACACACTTTTAAAAATTCCAGTTTGAAAGGGCGCCAACGGATTTTGAACCAGGGCGCCAGCGAAGCTAGAAATGGCTCTGACTATACAGTATACTATATAATCCCTTTTCCACTCATTCATCATCGACATTTTTCTGCGAAACTTTTCTGTATTACATTTTCGCTCCAACCTACTAAATTGTAATACATCCTATGCACTCCAGTTCGACCGTGCAACGTTCAATGATTTAATGGTTTAGCGATAGAATCACCACAGTCATGATTTAATAGTGATCATTCCATTCGATTGAATCGCACCGTTTCATTTCAATTAAACTCAAGTTTGTATCACCATAATTGACACTCCACTTTGTTCTCAAAAAAATGTTATCCGGAACGTAGATTGAGACTTTTCGTGCTTGGGCCAATTTTTCGCGGTCTTGGTTCAATGTCAACAGCTTTAAAATGCCTCTGTTGAAATGAGCTTCATCTTTGGATAAAACTTTGATTTGCCTTAGTTTCGGTGATTGACGAATGAATGGTTGAATATCATCGACACTAGCCTTATTTATGTGAAGACGTTGAAGATTCGGTAAACTGTTGGCAAGAATGTCCATATCAGTAGAGTTAGCTCCATCTTGAATGGCCAACTCTTTCAAATTGGTCAAAAGTGGCAAACTATAGCTTCTGGTGAAGTTTTTAATGCATAACTTTTCAAGACAATGGCCCAATGACGTTAAATGAGTGCTAGTTTCTTCGTTACAGCTCTGCGTATAAAAATTTAATCGCTTAAAAAAACGGCGTCTATGAAGTTGTTTCAGTAAATTACAAAATTCTATCAATGTAAATTCTTCATCGTCGTCATCATCAATCATATCCATTTCACTGGCCTCCTTCACCTCCAGCATCTCCAATGTAGCAGTTGATTTCAGAAGCTCCTTTCGATTTTTCCAGAGACATAACGTACTAGTTGAAAAAGCTTGAACAGTTGGGTTCCGTTCGAAGAATTCATTGAGTTCATCAATTTTGTTTGTGTATTTGGGGATTAATTCCAAATATTCCAACTTTGGATATTCTTGGCGCAGCCAATGGTTTTCGATGCGAGCCGCCCATCCACCGTCAAGAAGCCGAAAAATGCCTAAATCCGAATCTTGCACAAAAAGTCGCCTTATATTTGCACAATGTTTCAGTAACATATCATTTAGGTGTCCTTCAACTGATGAATTTCGAATTTGCAACGTTTCAATTTTCGGTAGAAGATTCATGAGACAATTCACTCTTGCTTCGTTTATGATTAGGCACACGAGATAGATGTGATTGATTGATTCGAATTCATCGCTATGTGATTGAATGTAGTGAAGCGGTCGGAGCTTTTCATAATAGTGTGAAATGTATGTTATGTATCGATTGAAACCCGACGTCGGTATATTTTCATTGATGACCCCCTTATCATCGGAGTAAGCTATGTAGATTCCATCGTTTCCACTGTACTTTGGAGCCGCTGAATAATTTCGTTTGAAATATACGCCGGCCACTTTTTGCATCGTCTTGCACGTTTGACCGAATGCATGCAAGTCTTTCAGGGATAAATACTCGAATATTTCATCACAGCAATCGGTAGTTAGTTTGAATATGTCTGGATCACGTGATTGTCTAGCTACTTCCATTTGGATTGTTTTTATTCGGTGAAATGTAGTATTTATTATTGGTAGATTTTTTCTCTCGATAATATTTGATTTTCTTCTTTTATTCTCCGACTTTTCTATTCTATCTTGAGTAGAGTCTTATGAATTCAAACACGTTCAGGAAATTAGAATTGAATGAATCACTAAGATTGATGTCATCACTGGAAAAATAATTAAAATGTGAAACTTTGATTATTATTATTATGAATGAATGACTTGAAATTTCGTTTGAATGAAAGAAAAATCACCAACTTTCAATAAACTCAAAACTTTTGAAATATTTTCTATCGAAAACTTTGACTGTTTCGTATTCTTTGAATTAAAACGATACACGGTTTGATAATAGAATAATAATGCAATATCATGCGAGAGAGAGAAAATGAGAAGAAACCCACATTTTGACGTTTCGATCAGCTGTTCAGTTTGAAGTTTGTCCCACACATGTGTCATGCATGACAATTGCTGCTTATGGAACTCAGTGTGTTGTGCGTTGTGTATAGGTATTTGCTATACAATTGTGAATGCATGCCTACATTACATACAAACCGTATCACTTAAGGTGGTGTACTTCATTCTCCTACTTCTCCTCTTTAATAGCAATTGTGAAACATTTCTATTTGACATACAGCTTATGTCAGTAGAATGACTGTTACGATAAGAATGTTCTCATTCAACACATTCTCAATTTCCACACATGCACACATAAACATGAACATTTTCGGCGAAAATTGTTTATAAACAAACATCGAATGAAAATGAAAAGTCAAGTAATTAAGTGGATGAACTACATTATGCTTTATTTCAATTTCGAAAGGGATTTATCTATTTCTTTTTTTTTTGAAAGTATGAAAAATGTAAAGAACTAAAAAATGATAACCTTGTAGATTCGTTAATGCTTAAAAATATAGTTTTCAATAATATGAATTGACTTGTTAATCAAAAAACTTCTCTGTCTAGGAAATAGGTGTATTCTTCACCACGTCGTAGTTCAACTAAACTCAAGTTGATATCACCATTTCTGGTAGTCCGTTTTGTCTGCACGTAAAAATCAGGTGCAAAAATGACGAGTTTTCTTGCATCTTATAACTTTTTCCGTTCCTTGTTCAGAACTGACAAATCCAAATTTTTATAGCGAATTATTGATATGTGTATTAATAGTGTAAGTTTATGCAAATTGGCCATCTTTTGAACGAATGGCAACATATCCGAGAATGATTCCACTCCAAGATAAAGATGGTCCAGTTTCACACATTTCTGTGCAAAGAGATCGGGATCAATATTCTTTACGCCATCAGTGATGATCAACTCTTTCACAAGTGTCAAAGGTTGAAAACTAAAACTTTTCTCAAATTCGGAGATGTGGAATTTTTCGAGGCCTTTCAACGAGGCAACTGCATCGATATTGGTGATCTCGTCGTCACCGGTAATAAAAAAATGTAAGCGTTGATAAAAACCACGTTCAAACAGTTGATTGATAAGCCTGCAAATCGTTTGCATTCTCGTCCCAGCAACTTCAAATTCATCCAAATCAAATACAACGTTAAACTCTATCATTCGAATCTCCAGAATATCTAGTTTAGCGTTCGAGTTCAGAAATTGGTCCCTATTGACCCAGAGACAAAGTCCACTTGTGGCAAAAATGTGAATATTTTCATTTTTTCCCAAAAATCCATTCAAACCATCAATTGACCAATCTGAAGTAAACTCGAAATACTCAAGTTTTGAATATCTCCCGAACAACCAAGGATAGTTGTAGTAGGCATCATCGTTTGGGTAAATATCACGCAAGGAAATGCGTTTTTGCTCGAAATCGGCACACAATTGGCGCGAACTTTCGATGCAGCTCAAAATATTTTCAGTTTGGCAATAATCTGGTACTGTTTCCATATTGGAAAATGTCATGTGTTTGAGTGATTCTAGCTTCTCAGTGATTCCAGCAATACAGTACAATACACCGAAATAATTGCCCCGGAATTCAATACGTGTGATGAATTGATTGACAGCTTCAATATGAGTACCAGACTCAAAAATTCCACCATCTCGAATTTCATAACAGCGGCCAGAAAAATACTGTTTATTATAATCACCGACCAGTTTTTGGGCGGTTATGCATGTGTTTCCAAATGAAACTAAGTCCTTGAATGTTAAATACTAGGGTGGATCGATTTTTAATATCGTACAAAATCAAAAATGGCGGGTGCGCGATCGATTTGGCACCTCAAAAGAAGAAACTTTTGTTCTGGGACATATGCCGAAAAGTTGATTCCCACAGGGCCCACTCAATTTTTATCTGGTTCATTTTTTGATGATTTTTCCAGACTATTTGTTGAAATATCTCAAAAAATACCCCCTTTTCTTGCATTCAAACTATGATATTTGGATTTATCGCGAAAAATTACATAAAAATAAGTCGGTTTGGAATCATTCCAACGCGATTTTGTCGCCTTCGTAGGTCAAAAATCGTTCAAGTATCCATTTTTTGGCTACTTTTCCGCAAAAACTCACCTCTAGACCCTCGGAAAACCTCAAATGCATGGCCAAAATTGACTTTATTTAGTCTAATTTTTGACGAAGAATTCAAATCTGATCAATAGATGCACATAAACTAGTGATTTGGTGGCTCTACAGGTCCGAATGTACTCAAAAATGGCCAAAAAGTCGCCATTTTACGCTACATATAGCTGAACTAGTCCAGTTTTATTCGAATTTGAAACGTCCGAAGAGCTATTTCTACTTAATTTTTGACGTAGAATTGATTTCCGGTTTCATTTGTATAGATTTATGTGATTTTTGTGTCGTAAACTGCGTCTATTTTAAGCAAAATGAGGAAATTACGCCCATGAGCTTCGATTTAACAGTGATATAACCTCACTGAGCAAACCATTTCTACCTTTGCTGCCTTTAAACTTCTAGTGTGCTCCCTCACAAACATTTTGAGTGCCCATATGATCAGATCAAGTGATGTGTTCATATATTTCTGGGCTCATATTCGGTTGGTTCAATTTCAGATCTTGAAAAATCGACTTTTGTTCAAAATAATTCCAAGTATACACATTTCATGGTTGGTGTCTTGGTGGAAAGTTATTTTATCTCAAAAATATGGGCAGTCTTCTCAGACAAAAACTCCAAAAAGTGATTTTTTGAGGTACTTGTCGAACAAAAGTGACGATTTTTACGGATTTTGTTTTGAAATTATCATTTTTTGTTCGAGAGGTACCTCAAAAAATCAAGAACTATTTTTGACCTACGAAGGCAACAAAATCGCGTTGGAATGATTCCAAACCGACTTATTTTTATGTAATTTTTCGCGATAAATCCAAATATCATAGTTTGAATGCAAGAAAAGGGGGTATTTTTTGAGATATTTCAACAAATAGTCTGGAAAAATCATCAAAAAATGAACCAGATAAAAATTGAGTGGGCCCTGTGGGAATCAACTTTTCGGCATATGTCCCAGAACAAAAGTTTCTTCTTTTGAGGTGCCAAATCGATCGCGCACCCGCCATTTTTGATTTTGTACGATATTAAAAATCGATCCACCTATTAAATACTCAAACATCTCATCAAAGCAATCGACATTCAGTTCGTACATCGGCACATAGCAGTCAAATAGATGAGAGCTGCAAATACAAAATACTATGAATCTAAAATATAGACTGAAAAAAACTAATTCGACCATCCCAATTTTGGTGATGAACATGATTTTTTTAATTTATTTTAATTAAGAAGATTTTATTTTGAAAAAAAATGTGTTTCAAATAGCGGATAGATTAATACATAATGGGAAAACATTCATTTTAAAATGAGAGAAGAACTATGCTAAGGCAATTTTTCTTAAAATGAATCGACGATTGATATTATGCGACTTTTAATTCATATGCAAAGGCAATTATCATATTTTATTTGTAAAACTCAATTTTGGATAGATTTAACTTTATGAAAATGCATTTATTTGCTATATTTTGATCAGATGATTTTGGTAAAAGATTATTTCTAAAGTTTTTTTCTTTGTTTCAAATCTTATGAAAATCTATTTCAATTCAAATGGGAACTCCTATCTTAGTTTTATCGATTGCTATGATATTTAAACTATTCTTTTGAGCTGGACGAATCGTCTGCGTTTCCACAACTCTCTTCCTCTCCATTTTTTGCCCAAACGTTGGCATAAATACTCTAATTCATCGAGATCACTTAGCATGAAATTGAATTTTCTCAACAGTGGAAATTTAGCCATAAAATCGATAGCTTCATCAGTTGAAAACGAGATATGTATCGAAATGGTGACCAGTAACGGCAAAGATCTCGTCAATCTCGACCAGTCCATAGCAGAAGAATTTTCATATGAACTAATCGATAGATCGGTTATTTTTGGGAATTTGTCAATGAAGTTGAAGAAATCTTCAAAAAAATTCGGAAGGAATTCAATTTGCTTCGGAGGAGAAACGTCGAACTTCTCGAGTTTTTCAAATGAAAATGGTAATGAACACGTTGGCCATTCATTATTATAGTGACGAAGAGAAGTTATGAATGTTTTTACACGTTTCATGTGAATGATATTGTCAATATCGTCGTGGACTGTGATGGGCTTTAGATCAAGGTAAAGAGATTCAATGTTCTGTAAATTATCGACTTCACTCCGAATCAAATCTATAGTCAAATAACTGTCGGCAAGAGCAAATGAACTGACATGCAGCTCCTTTAACTGTGGATTTAGTTTCAAGAATTCCGACACCATTTCATTGCGAAGATTTTGTTCGTGACGAACATCAGAAATTGGATCGTAGCCTAATTCAAAAAACGTCAGACTTTTTAAACGGGGAAAATGAGTTGCATTTGTGTTATAAAATGACACATCTTCGTAATGGCTGCACATCAAAGATTCCAGATTTGGAAATAGTCGTTTGATGCGATTGATTTCGGTAAATTTGCACTCCAAGACATGAATTCCACGAAGTTTTGGAAACGGTTTATCAAAATACTCTAGCACGCCGTTCCGTTGAAAATCACCTTCTTTTAGGTATTCCGCACAATAAGCATTTACATAAGTTGCCAATTTGCGATCTATTTCGAGTTGAATACTTTCTTCGAAGATTAGTTGTTCGAAGCATATTTTATGGATCACGCGACCAAGGCAGCGTAACAACTGCAAACCGGTTTTCAAATCATTGACATGAATATCTCCGAATTTATATTTAACCAGTCGAAGAGTAGAAATTTGCATTTCCCCAAACGACACCGTTTTCTTGCCATGCTTACGATCGAATACGAGCTCAGCAGCTTTATTCAGTCGTTTGCACGAATCCGCCGCATTCAACAGATCAACCAGCTCCAAATATTCGAGAATGTTTTCCAGACAATCAAAATTTAGATCGGTCAATTTCATCGTTTCCATGGTCCCGAGATATTTGTTGACCTAGAAATAAAAATTACAATCATATTTTAAACTCTACTACAATGAATCTTATATGTATTTCTCTATTTATTCTATTTTCATTTTTTAACTTACGCAAATATTCAGATTGATTCAAACTTAGCGTTAAGTGGAAATTTTGTTTTTGCCGGTTTTGACTTGATCACTTGAATTGAATGAGTAAGTGTCCACACAATGTTTTTGTTTTTGGTCAAGTGTGAAATGAGTACGGATTGTCATTCATGGGCCAACCAATACTGCAATGATGCAATGCTTTATCGCCTTAATACTTGAAGGTTTGGAATAACGTGAGCGCCAACTGATAAAATGCTCCTGTCTTCGATACTGATTTGTCCTAGTGTTTAAACTTAAAAAAAGAATAAGCAAACAAAATATTTTATGTAACTGCAAAGCAAAGGCAACTTCAATGCACCACTATACTGAATTTGTGACTTAATACTTGTGAACATAGCTTTGTTCTCAAGTAAATGAAGAAAAAATGCACGAAACAGTGAAGCGTTGATTTCAGTCACAATTTTTCGGAAAAAATATAAATCCTTAAAGTCCTTACCTCGCACAGAAATAACCATGATCAACTCAATCACAGATCATATTCCTATTCTTGTTCCTTTGGCATTTGGCTCAAATACGTGTGAGTTTTCAAGTGGGCTGATCGCAGGAATACGTATGCTATTCTGAAAATAATATCCATGAGCTGACAATTTCCAAATAAAACGAAAGAAAAATCTCCTTTTGGAGTAGCTAAATTTATTGCAATTCATTGAAAAAAATGCAAATCTGAAATCCTTTACCTTGATTTAACAATGTATCTGAGGTGATCTCGCGGCAAAATTGGAATTAATGTGGTGATGTCCGCACAATATTAAAATGTCTGTACAATCGTTGTGGTATGGAACATTTATTTTACCCGGTTTTAATGAAATCAACAGGTAAATAATAATTCTACTTCAATGACTTTCGGCTCATAAACTGCTGTAGACAATTTGTGTATTTATTGAAGTAGACTTTTGACGTTTGTTGCTGATCGACGTGAAGTTGGTTCGCATGCGAAAAAGTGATTTCATTTATGTCACTTCATTATTTGAACCAAATTCAAATGCGAATTTCTTTTTTTCATGTGTAACTAGCAATTCAATTGAAATGATGCTTTATCAAAAAAAAAAACAACGTGAACAAAATCATTCCTGAATAAAACTTAATGACTAATCATAATGCCATATTATGATTATTTCCGATATTCGCTTGAACACATTTTGACACTTTATATCAGCTGTTTCGAAGCATTTGCTCCTTGTATGACCAATATATTTTGTTTATACATAGACTACAGAGATTACTTTATAAAGTATACTGTTCCGAAACGCAATATAAGAGATTGTTTTATGTGTACAAAGTCGAGTCTGAGTCACGTGTGTCTGAACTGACAATAGTGACTCGTTCAGACTGAACAGCTCTATTGTAGTACACACATATTTTCGGCGTATGTTGTTTGAAACAACTTGTTTGTAAACAAACGACGAATGAAAGTGAATTAAGCAACTCAAGCAAATTTATGCCCATCAAAGTTAATTTTTATTTCAATTACAAAAAAAAGAAGAATCGCAACTTTTTTGAACTTTTTTCTAAATATATTTATTTTTTTATATGTAACCATATAAAAAATTATCAAAATAACTATTTTTCATTGCTTTTAACGTTAGTAATGTCTCTAGAGTAGAAGTTAGTTTTTAATAATACGTTAATCAATGAATTTCTCTGTCTGAAAAATCGTAGTATTCTTCGCCGCGTCGTCGTAATTCAACTGAACTCAAATTAACATCACCATTTTTGCTGGTTCGTTTTGTATCCACGTAAAACTCATCTGGTGCATAAATTATGAGTTTTCTTGCCCCCGCTAACTTTTTCCGTTCCTTGTTCAAAGCTGACATGCCAAAAATCATATCAAATCGATTTATCCGCTTGGCCAATAATGTGATTTTATTCAATTTAGCTGAGTGGCGAACGAATGGCAGGATATCGCTGATTGTGTGGACGTCGAGAAAGAGTCGTTCCAGTCTAACACATTGCTCTGCCAAGTGTTGAAGGTCAATATTCTCTATGCACTTAATTATCACCAATTCTTTCGCAAGTGTCAAAGGATACAAACTAAAACTCGTTTTAAACTCGAAGATGCACAATTTTTCGAGGCCTTGTAATGAAGCCAATCCACCGATATTGCTTATCTGATCGTCATCAGTTATGGAAAAATGTAGACGTTGATAAAAACCTTGTTCAAAAAGTCGATTGATAAGTCGGCAAATGGTTTGTATTCTCGTACCAGCAGCTCCAAATTCGTCCAACGGCACACCATAGACTTCCATCATTCGAATCTCCAAAATGTCTAGTTTCGTTTTTGAGTTTAGAAATTGGTCTCGATTGACCCACAGACACAGTCCACTGGTGGCAAAAGTGTGAATATTTTCATTTTCTTCCAAAAATCCATTCAGACCATCAATTGGCCATTCTCCTACCAAAGTAAACTCGAAATACTCAAGCTTCGGATATTTTTCCAACAGCCAGGGATACTCATTGTCTTCCAGAAATGTGCTTGGGTAAATATCACGTAAGGAAATACGTGTACAATTTCCACATAAGTCACTTATACACTTATTACAAAACTCGGGCAAACAAGACCGCAACTGCACACTTTCGAGTTTGTTGAAAATATTCTGAATTCGGCCATAATCTGGTTCCACTAAATCCATGTTGGAAAATGTTATGTGCTTGAGCAATGGGAACTGTTCAATGTTGGAATTGATTTGATACAACGGTTGAAAAGAACTGAACCGGATTTTAAGTCTCGTAATGAATCGCTTAACCGCTCGATTATAAGCATGATCAAAAATTCCATTTTGTTCGATTTCATTGTTGCGGTACGAAAAATGCCGCCGGTAATAATCTCCAACGTAGTTTTGTAGGGTTTTGCATGTGCTTCCAAATGAAATTAGGTCTTTGAACAATGAATAATTGAATATTTCGTCAAAGCAATTGTCATCCAACTTGAATATTTGCGATAAATACTCGTCATTTGAGCGATCAACAATTGGCACTGGGTTTGAAGGGCCAGCAACTGGTGTTTCGTTGTGTATTTCGCGACTATCTTCTCTTTTTTCACACGAATTCTGCTCTTCTTTCTCTTTCTTGTCATTTTTCTCTGTCTCTTTTCCTTCCTCTTTCTCTCTCTTTGTCTCCGTCACTTTCCCTGTCTCTTTCTCGTCCTCTTTCTCTTTCTCTTTCTCGTCCTCCTTCTTTTTCTCTTTTTCGTTCTCTTTCTCTGTTTCGTTCTCTGTTTTGTTCTCTGTTACGTCCTCTTTCTCGTTCTCGTTCTCATTCTCGTTCTCGTTCTCATTCTCGTTCTCGTTCTCTGTCTCTTTCTTTTCCTCAGTCTCCTTCTCTTTCTCTTCTTTTTTTCCATTTTCCTCCCATTCTACTGGATTCATACTACCATCGTCATCTTCTTCATTCAATTTTAACCGCTTTGGCTCGTGTTCACCGTTCATTTTTAATGTTGATTCGAAATTCACAGTAAAATGTAAACGATTTATCGTGACAATTCCATTTGTTTCATCGTTTTTGCTGTAAAAAACACAAAATTATCAATCTACATAGAAAAAAGTAAACAGAAATTAAAAAAAAAATTATGAACCATAAAAAATGACGAATCACAAATATTTTAATTTGTTTACGACTTCAAACCACGAATTGAGTAGAGCAACTGTCAAACCTATGTGAAGCGACAGTGTAGGAAAGCTGACTGCTGATAAAAATGGAAATGATAAAGTTATCAGTGAAAATTGATTGAAAGCCGGGGCATAGCCGGCGTTTTGATGTGATTCGACTTGAAGTTGAGCCTCATCTAAAAATTCGGTTTCATAAATATGCGACAGCAAGTGTCGAAAGGCACACTCACTAACACACTGCACTGATTGTTGATTGAAGAATTGATATACTTGCCAGTTTTTGTCGTTGTGTTGATTCAATCGCTGTGTTTGTAATACAAGCCTTGTATTGAGATTGTATTTGGACGATGTCTGTGTTTGTATTGTCGAACATTACTTGCATAGTGTGCAAGTGATAGTGTTCTATCAATTAATGCTATTTGGAAGACCTACGGCTTATCATGTAAACAATACAACTAAAAACAAATGCTCAATGTAATGCCAACAACCAAAAAATTGCTTTTATTTAAATAAGATTAGAAAAATATCTGGATTTGCCCATAAATTTGAGGATTAAAATCGTATCACATTGTTTCTCTCGAATTGTATTTTGTATGTGGCTCAAAAATTGAGGATTCAAGTCATACTTTTGAGCACTTTTTGATTTTTAATGGAAAAATTTGCCATTGTTTCAAAGAAAAATTTGTTTTAAAATAAAAGACAAAGAAAAATAAACATTCTTGATAATAAAAAAACCAACACTTAAAAAAATAAAAAACAAAAAATTGTCTTTCTTTCAAGAAATGGTGAACTCATACGAATCACCTCGTCGCAGTTCAACCAGGCTCAAATTGACATCACCGTTTCGGGCAGTCCACTTTGTTGCCAAGAAAATGTTGTCTGGGACGTAAATGATGAGTTTGTGGGCACCAGCTAATTTTTCCCTCTGTGCATTCAGATTTGATATGGCAATGCTGAAATTGGTTTTAATTTTGGAAAACGCTTTGACTTTGTTTAATTTGGCCGAGCGACGAATGAACGGTAGTAGATGGTCAATAGTGTGTGATCCAAAATAGAGTCGTTCCAATTTGACGCACTTATTGGCTAGGGCTTCTAAGTCGATATTTTTGGCCCCTTCCCAAATCACTAATTCCCTTACATTGGTCAATGGTACTAAACTGTAATCTTTTTTAAATTTACGGATGCACAATTTTTCGAGGCCAGCCACGGAAGCCAATTCATCGATGCTTGGTATTTGTTCATCATCATTGATGTAAAAATGCAATCGTCGAAAGAATCCATGTTCGTGCAGCTGATTAACAAGCGTACAAATTGCTTGCATTCTAGTTTCCGGTACACCAAATTCATCTGTTGGTGCCATTTTCACTTCGATCATACGAATTTCCAATTTATCCAGGTGCGCTGCTGACTTCAGAAGTACATTCCGATTGACCCAAAGGCATTGACCGCTGGTTGAAAAACTCTGCACATGTGAATTGCATGCAAAAAACATGCTGAGCTCATCAATTTGCAATTTCTTAAATGGGATCAATTCCAAATGCTCCAGTTTTGGATACTCCTGCGTTAACCATGGATATTGAAGTGTTCGCACACCGTCTTCAAGCATTTGAGAACACACGATATCACAATAACGAATACTAAAGTGTTTTAAATTACGGCAAAATTTCAAGCAATCGTAAAAGTCGCCATCGAGTGCACAGATCCAAATTTGAACGATTTCAACCTTGGCCAACAATTCCTGGATGCATTCATATTCGGGGCCATTCAAATTGATGCACGAAAAACCGATTTGTTTGAGCGACGAATATTGATCTATGTGTGAATTTATGTAGTAAAGCGGTTCAAATGTGTCCATGTAGTGTTCAAGTTGCATGATGAATTGACTGAACGCCGAAATGCGGATGCATTCATTAAAGGCACCACTTTGACTGGAGTATGTTGTGTAAATTCCATCACCTTCGATTCGATAGTAATCATTGGCGAAAAAATTGAATTTAAAATATTCGCCGCACACTTTTTGCATTGCACTGCATGTTTGCGCAAAATGATGCAAGTCTTTCAATGATAAATAGTCAAAAATTTCATCAAAACAATCGATATTCAACGGGAACATTTGTACGGGTTGCTCTCGGTACAAGTCAACAATTGCTAGCTCGTTATTTCTCCGGTCTTCTCGGCGATTCGAGAAATTTCCACTTTCACTTTTCGCCAATTTTCGTCTCTTTGATCCACTTTTTCGGTCGCTCATTTTTAACAACACCGAAAAATAATTGACATTGAACATTTCTGGAAAAAAACAACAACAAAAACCCAATTTTTTTAATGCAAAATATTAAAACGCATAATAAGTGAAACAAATGTCAAACTTACCAATAATACGATTCAATTACGACCGACACTGGCTCCAATGGAAAAAATGACAACTGAATGATAAAAGCAATTTGACAATTGTTGTTGTTGGCTTCGTTTGACTTGAAGTTGGACCACATTTGTGGAACTCATTTCAAGTGCCATTTTTTTGTTGAGCGCAATTCTATTTGAAACTTAAACCTTCAATGTGAGTTGAACTTATTTTTTTATTGATTAATTTACTGTCAGTCTTGCATATTTGAGCGCAAGGAAAATGATTTTTTGTTAATAAAATAATACTCAATGACTTCCACTTTTATCAATGCAATCAGGTTGGCTAGAAATTGTGTGCTAGAGAATTTTTAGTGGACTAATGATGTCCACTTGATTAAGATTTAGCTTCAAATTTCGATTTCGATTCAAATAATTGCCGATTTGGATTGAATATTTTCTGCTTTTTCGATGCAATTTTTTGCTTTTGCTTCATTATGATCTTCAGATCTATTGACTAGATCGAGAGGAGAGTAAGTTCATCTGACTTTGTTATGAAAGAGAAGAGTAAGTTTCTTTCGACTCAAAAATGGTTAAAGGCGAGTATGTTCATTTTTGGCGGGTCCTCGTGATTTTCCACGGTTTCCGCGGAACTGATAAGAGATAACAACTTGGTGTCTTCGGCAAAATTGTAGCACTCGAGGTCTTCTATAACATTGCTGAAGTCAGTTATCTCTTATCTCTTATCAGTTCCGCGAAAAGCGCGAAAAATGATAAGGAAAAAAAAGTTCTATATAAAATTTGCTTTTTTATGTGCGCGATTTGCGCGCAACTGATAAGAGATAAGAGATAGATGTCTTCAGCAATGTTATAGAAGACCTCAAGTACTACAACTTTGCCGAAGATGCCATGTTGTTATCTCCTATCAGTTGTGCGAAAACCGTGAAGACCGCAGAGGCTAGACGGTACTTCAACATACTCTACTTTAACGCCAACAGAATCATCAGAAAACATACTCTCCTCTTTCAAAATATATTAGAATTTTTTCACATACTCTCAATAGATATTGTGGTTCTATGACCTAGAAATGTTGAGTCGAAATGGAGATAATAGAACATAGCAATTGATATGAGTCAAAAATGAAAAGTCAACATAGATTCTGACACCAACAATTTCAGATAGGGTCAGGCCAAAAAAATTCCGCTGCAAAGTTTCATGGTATTGAAAAATGAATTGAGCAGACAGCTTAATCGGCTGAATTTGCTGACTCGGACAATTGAAGCGTTGTTTCAACACATTTATGGTGTACAATTTTCATTGCTAGCAGAAAGCCACTTTGATTACCAACTTGAATGAGAGCAATGAAAATGTTTGCACCGTGAATGAGTTGAAACAACGCTTCAGACATCAAATTCAGTCCAGTTCAGGCCTACTCAGCAGCAAAAATACAGTCTTTGGAATTGAGTGTCCTCATAAATAAATTTACGTGCTGGTCTGAACGATTTTACGCGCGTTGGACAGTCATCCATAACAGCCAAATAAGACTGTTTGGACGAAAGAATACAACTTGTGGGTGACACAATCGGTAGTATTAATTTAATGATGCATATTTGATTGAATATTCAATGCATGCCCGAGTGTTTCAAACGATTGAATCGATTTTCAAAGTAAATTATGAAATGAATTTTGCATTAATTTCATTGACAGCACACGTCAAACTGAAGGCAGGAGCGCACAAATACACATTTGAGTTAACGCTACCGTCGAATGTGCCATCGTCAATTGAAGGGAAATTTGGATACATAAGGTACACCGTGCAAGCTGTACTCGACGTGCCTATGTGGCGAAATAAAAAATTCAAGCAATCGCTCACACTTATTAATGCAATCAATTTGAATGATGATATGACGTTGCGGGTAATTATTAACGAAGAGTTTCTGTAAACTTATTCGCCACTGGCATTCATGTATTTCATTCGATTTTGCTGCAGCGACCACTCATTGTTGAAGAGTAATAAATAAAATACACTTTTTGGATGAGTTTCTTAGTAAAAAGTTATTTTTTTCGAGAAATATTGGGAATCTACCCATATCGAAGCACTTAAGAAAGATTTTTGTTGGTTCTTCTTCTCTCTGAAGAAGAGTTCCAATTTTTCCTACCTATGGGGGCTATGGATCCGGATAAATGGTGGCAAATGGCCTAATTTGGTGTGGCCTAGCGAGCCATACCGACCAAAAATCCTTTTGCTCCCATTGGGAAAATTTCGAAAATTTATCCTGAGCAAAAAACAGCACTTGTCTTGAGCATTAGAGTTGAAATCGAATATGAGGCTAGAAATATGTGAAAACAAATGCCGAAAAATTGCCATTTTTTCTGTCATTTTACACTGTAACTGGCCCAGAATGGTTTTTTAATGGCTAATGTCTTGGTGAAAGTTATAGATATTGACGAGCCAAATAAAACCCCATCACTGGTTTTGGCCGAAAATTGGCTGGAAAAATGATTTAGGTCGAAATGTTGCGATCTAAAATGGCTTCCGAAACTACCTTACTCAAAAATTTGATGAATTTTGAGAAAGTGGTTTTTTTTCTACGTTTTTCGATTTTTTGATGCCAAACCTATTTTTTTGAGGCCAATTTTCGAAAACCGATCGGGGAGTTTGAATATCTCAATTTTTTTTTGGAGCAGTCTAATGACCATGAAAGTCACATATTTGATTCGTGTAAGTTAAAGTGTACTTCTGATACTTTTGAATCTTTTTCTTGATGATTTTCACTCTTCATTCAGTCCCAATATTGACCCCTTCAGACTTTTGATACTATTTGTGTTTTTTTTCTTCTTCAATTTTTCACCACTTTCTTCTGATATTTTTCACAGATAACAGCTTCGATACCATTCCCTTTATTGACCTTCCGGTGACAATTGGTTTTTATCCATTTCACGATGAGACACTTGCACAAAATGATTATTTTTGGTTCAATAACGGACTCAAACGCTTTTCCCATTTTCGAAATGGCATTTCGAGAACTTGTGAAAATTCATATAAAAATTCATAAGATAAAGTTTTCCATTATTAGCTATAAGTTATTTGAATCAGGCTTTGTTATGCGCTAAATCCATCACGCTGAATAATTTCATGCGATAGATTTATGCGATAAATGTGATGCGCTCGCTTTGCGGTGAACGAAGTCTGTTGCTCTTCACTTGTTCACGCATGAACGTTTATGCTTTGCAGTGAACGCATCGCTAAGCAGTAGTGAAGAGCAACAGACTTCGTTCACCGCAAAGCGAGCGCATCACATTTATCGCATGAATTTATTCAGCGTGATGGATTTAGCGCATAATAAAGCCGGATTTGAATCTAATTAAAAGTTTTTCAATGTTCGAAACGTTAAAAATTGGTGACTCTGAACTTTTTTCATATTTCCAAAAAAAGGTTTTTCTTTTATAAAATTGATTTTTCGATTTCAAACTAATTCAGTTTCCATGCCAAAACAGAACGAATATGAACTTTTCATTCTAATACATAAATAGTTTTGTAAGAAAAAAAAAATTCCAAATTATTTTGAAATTGGCTTGGGAAAAATTCTCTGGGAATTCAATAAAAATCGTGTGAAACAAATGAATGGAATGAAAACTTCTGTTCCAAATTATTCAGTGTGAATACACTTGCGTGCTAGGAATATGAAGTATGATCATCAGAGAAACACGCATTCATTGAATAACCCCTGCTTTGCTTTTGCATTTCAAAGAATTGTTCATAGTTTGTTGATTACGTCCAATACAATTTCAATTGTTTATTACGGAACTGTAATCGATCTTGATCTTGTGACTTGAATAACTTCACTGTTGACTGTTGTTGTAATTTAAATTTTTCAACGCGATAATCGACAGAATCAGTCAAACTTGAGCTTTCATGCGGTTGCAAACAAATTTTATGTGGAAAATTGTGCTTCAAAAAAATGTTTTGAGTTCTTTTTCACCGTAACTGAATAAAAAAAAATTACATTTTGGATCGTTTTTGTCCCAAATTGTTTTATTTCAAAAGAAGAATTGGTTTATTGAATAATAAAAAAGAAATTATTTCATATAAATAAGCATTAAAATTGATAAGAATCGACGATTAAACACTAAAAAATTAAGAATTACAAAGACCTTTACAGAATTTGTTGAAAATTTGCGATTTGAAGTAAAAGAATCATAAACAATTTCAAGCAAAAGAGAGTGAAACTAAAAAGTTCATAAGCAAAACTGAACACAAAAAGGCGGAAATGTCGACCACATGTTATATTGAGTTTGAAAACAGTGAGCTAAATGCCTTTTACGCTGGTCAAACGCTATGCGGAATGGTGCGACTCAATTTGCTGGAGAGAAAAACTTTTCGAGGTGTTTACATTCATATAAAAGGGAATGCATTTGCAAAGTGGAGAGTGGCCAGCGAAAAATATTTCGCTTTTGGTACGGAAAATTATTTGGATGAAAAAATGTACCTCATAGGAGGGATCAATGGTAAAAGATGTCCAACTTCCATGCATTAACTTACAAAATACGATTACCTTATATTAATTCCTCAACAGACGAGATAAAATTGGAGCGTGGAACGCACAATTATCGATTTAAATTCCTTTTACCACCCAATTTGCCATCATCAATCGAAGGGATGTGTGGATACATTAGATACTCCATTCGAATTGTGCTCGTAACACCTTGGTGGCGGAACAAAGAATTCAAAAAACGGTTCACCGTGGTCAAAGCTATCAATCTAAACGAAAATCTGTCTTTACGAGTAATGTATTTTCGAATATTTTCCAAAAAAAAAACTAATTGAATTGAATTTGTGGCATAGAGATGAAAGAAATTGATAATCATTTGTGTGCCCCTTTCCAACAGAAACCATTCGTTGTTGCAAAAACTAAAAATGTATACCCACCGTGCATTGATCGTGATCCTATAAAAATTGTCGCTCGCACACACATCTCTGGATTCACACCACAGCAAATAATTCCTTTTGAATTTCATGTAATTAATCAGAGTAATGTGAAAATCACGCATTTTACTGTGGAGTTGGTTCAGGTATAGGTTGAAAACCTTTTCAATTTCTTTCCTATCTATCGTAAGACTTCTAACTAAATATATCGAAACTCGTTCAGTTGATCAATTATTCAAAGAGATACATCGTTTGCGGATGGACACACAGATACGATGAAGAATTTCTTCTATTTCGAAAAACACTTGGGGGCTGCAATGACAATCAACACAAGAACTTTATTGTCGATATCGAAATACCAAAATTTATTCCGCCAACCGATCTTTCAACGAGCAGTCTCATTAAAGTCACATATTTCATACGGGTAATCTCTTTCTTTCTGTCTTTTTTCGATACTATCAGACTATTGCCTTTTTTGCAAAATTCAATTTTATTATTCTCTATACTCAGCCTCTGTCTATGCTCTATACCTTATTCGCATGTGCTAATGTAAAAAAAAATTGTTCTAAAAATTCTACAGGTAATGGCAATGACACCATGGTTTTACGAAAATTTCATTTTCGAAATGCCAATCACGATTGGAACGTATCCAATTCGGAATACACTACCGCAAAATATACTGTACAGAACAAGACTGTGAACATAATTTGATAATCAATTTCTACTGAACGGAGAAAATGAATTAATTCATTGATTTGGCTCTTTTCGTCACAACATGGGAGGTTAATGCAAACATAGACCCCAATTTTTTTTTATTGGCCAATCTGCGGCAAGTTAGCTGTTATATAGCAATGCCAGGGGCCAAGCGCTACCGGGCTTGGTATTAAAAATTATAGTCATGGGGAGATTTCAACTTTAACCAGAACGAACTACATGTAATGACGGCAATTTTTACTGTGTGAAAAATGATCAAATTTGTATGAAGATTAAAACAGATCAAATTCAAATTGCTATATTTTTGAAATTCATGAATATTTTTTGATGAAACTTCTGTGATTTACTATTGAAACGTTGTAGAAACTATGCACAAAATATCAAGAGTGCAGGTGTTTCCGAAATATGTTAATGAGTCCACCAAAAATGGTCAATTTGTATAAAAAATACCTAGTGGTTCCAAACTTTTGCACGGTAGTGTATATTTTCCTATCTTTACAAGAGCCCTATATAAATGGTGAAACCATTATGGTGTAAATAAAATCAAAATTGAGCTTGAACAAAATCATTTGAGTGTTTTTCAATCAGAGTGATCTAAACGGTGTGATACTAACGTAGGTTGACAACTTATAGGAGTTTTCTCTTCTGAAACATTTCTCGAGAGAATAAGTTCAAAATGTGAAGAAAAAAAAAATTAAAGAAACTTGACTTGATAACAAGACTAATGATAATTACCACCGGTAGGTTGAGCGAGTTAAACAAATAACAACCGCAAGTATGCTACCAATAAAAAATTTAGATTACATAAACATTTCATTCCCCATTCCCATAAATTCTATTTTCCTCGCAACGGCAATTATCGTATGCAAAATAATTGCTTTTAAAATACTTGCCGCACACTTTTTGCAATGGTTTGCAATTTGCATGTCAAATCGACGTTCGATGGATCATCGATTACTATTGGTTTTCAAATGGAAATACAAATCTTGTGAGCTTTTCCTTTTGAATTTGTTGTTTAACACGTTTTTGCTATCTTTTAAAATTCAAGAGAGTTTGTGCAACGAATTTATTTCAGTGTATCCGCGTATACAAGCCAAAACAAACAAAACCACAAGATTTGTATTTGTATAAAAATGATGTGTTGGGTAGTGAATTTCGAACGTGGTATAAAAAGATCTAAATTCATTTTGGTGCAGAATAATAATAATAATAATAATAATTATTATTATTTCATTATAATGAAAGATCAAGATCTCAAAGGATTTTATTGCTCAAATTGATTGAATATACAAAAAAAAATTGAACATTTCAGATAAAAAAGAACTTATAGCAATTCGAAGTGTAAAGAGGACGTTTTTTTCCGCATAAACTCGTCTTAACATCAAACAGTAGAATGTTGTATTCAAAGCATTTAATCTTTTTTCTGGGAATCGGTCATGTTTTGAAGGGCTCCTTGTATAAACGATAAAAAATCTTTCGCTCCATCTCCGACGGTGTTCGTAGCGCTTTTAAAATTCTCACTTATCGTGTTAATTGCGACCTGTGAATAGATGAATGAAAAATTACCATCAATTTAGGTTATCAAAAGCGTTGCTGTGTAATCTCAACATGGAGAATGAAGCAAATAAACAGTGCCGATCAAAAGTTTGGACCCACTTTAAAAAAACGCATTTTTCGACAAAAAATGGGATTATTTTTATA